AAGGGCTGACAGTCAGCTCGGTCACCAGAAAAAAAACATCCACACTGTGGGTTTCTGCAAACCACCAATTCCTTATGTTTGTACATTTTATATGTGTCATATCAGCATGTCTTAAGTGACATATGATATGAGCTGGCTTTGTCATCAGGAGTTAGAGGGGATGGTGGATGGTGTGTCACCTAGATGAGGCCAAGTTGCCAAGGTGGTATGATACGCACTGGTTGGCTGCAGTTTGTAACAATGCCACTGGCAACTACCATTAAATAAAAAACGAGAAAGTCCATATAGGATGGGCTGAGGGGGAGATGAATTGGTCAAATAAACACCAGACCTTCACCATGCAGCCTGCTGTTCAGCTCCTGTGTGAAATTTAAGCCAACTTTTGTTGCCTGAACTTAAGGAGTGACTTAAAGTGTTTTACCTATGTTGTAACTTTCCTTTGAAAAAGACGAGCAGAAACTGTGCAGAAGTGTATTTTAAGTGTATTTCTGGTTCTGCTTTAAACTGGTTCTCTTTATATTTATCCAACAGATCCCTCTTTGTCTCTGTCAGTAACTCATTTTCTATCTTGCCTCCCATCTCCTGTGGTGTACCCCAAGGTTCCATACTTGGGCAAGTCCTCTTCTCGATTTATTTACTTCTGTTAGGCCACATTATTCAGAAACATCATACAGTATATCTTTTCACTGTTACGCTGATGACACACAGAGCTACCTCCCCTTAGAGCCAGACAAGTCAAATTTGATTGGGAGTTGAAGTTTGACAAACAAATCAATCAAGTAGTAAAATTAAGTTTCATGCAGCTGCGCATCATCTCCAAACTCAAATCAGTTCTTTGTAACTCTGACCTGGAGAAAGTCATCCATGCCTTCATTTCCTCCAGCTGTCTACAAAGTGTTAAAACGGCCTCACCCCCTCTCACATCAAAGAGCTCCTCTTCCCATATCACACTGTGAGAGAACTGAGATCCAAGACTAAGATTTAATCTGAGATTTAAAGATTCGCGACAAGACCAAACGTACGTTTAGGACGTATCAGAAAAATGTGCAGCAGTGTGAACTGGCCAGTCTGAGCTTGACTCAAGCCGGCTGATGACGTCAACTGCAACTGAGCTGGTCAAATGGCCAGCAGCTGGTTTTAGAACGTAAAGCACATCGCCTGTTTCTACAGCCAGTCGACTTGTAGTAAAAACCTGCAGGTCAAGTCAAAGTGACCGCAGATGGTGTGTTTGCCTGCTGCGGCAGGTGCTCCATTGCAGCCGAGCTCTCTGTTTCCATTTCACGTGTGACATTGTCGGACAGTGGGTCGCTGCTGCTGCATTGCTGTATGTGCTTATGCCTCCTCACACACACACACACATTCTCATTGACTAACTAATTGGTGCTGCTACCTTATGTTATTGTTGCATATTGATTATGAATACATTCCACCTGATGCTCATTTTGTTTATGTGTTTTGCCGTTTCATTACAACTACAAATGCAGCTGTAGCCAGTATCTCAAATGAGAATGGAAGTATAGAGAGTTGTTGACTAGAGATGATACACCGTCTCATCTAGTTGCATTGGTGTGAACCAGCAGGTTTTTAGAACATTGCAGAACAGAGCATTGCAAGTAGTTTCAACTCATCTCATTGCAGATCTTTGACTGAACTGGGCTTAAAGGGATAGTGCACCCAAAAATGAAAATTCAGCCATTATCTACTCACCCATTTGCCGAGGGAGTCTCAGGTGGAATTTTAGAGTCCTCACATCACTTGCGGAGATCCAAGGGGAGAGGAGGTAGCAACACAACTCCACCTAATGGAGGCTGACGGCGCCCCAGATTCAAACGTCCAAAAACACATAATTGAAACCACAAAATATCTCCATACTGCTCGTCCGTAGTGATCCAAGTGAGAGTTCAAATGACGTTTTCCCAAACAACTTTTTATGTCAGAGCTTCAGGGCACTTGGATCACTACGGACGAGCAGTATGGAGATATTTTGTAGTTTCAATTATGTGTTTTTTGGATGTTTTAATCTGGGGCACCGTCAGCCTCCATTAGGTGGAGTTGTGTTGCTACCTCCTCTCCCCTTGGATCTCCACAAGTGATGTGAGGACTCTAAAACTTCACCTGAGCCTCCCTCGGCATATGGGTGAGTAGATAATGGCTGAATTTTCATTTTTGGGTGCACTATCTCTTTAAGAGCAATTTGGATCAACTCTGTGTTTAAAGTTCTATATCATCCAACATCCAAAACAGATGCAAGAGGGTACCGAGCACGTCATAGTTTGACATGGATGCAATGGTATTTGACAAGCTTGGATGAGAATGTGTTTGTTTGTTTGTTAAAATGTAAAAAAGTTGCAACAGAAACATTCGATGCCAACATTTTTTTCTGGTGACTGGACTGTGACAGTACAAACACTTCCTGAAAGAAGAGGAAGTAACTAAATCTCCATGTGGGTCAGTTTTGTCGCAATTAGCAGTCACCATCAGACCCCTGTGTGTCTGAATATCCCTGTTGGTTTGTTCACACTTGGTATAAAAAGAGTGCCAGTTCTCTAAACCAGGTGCTGAGGTTTTTATTTAGAAATGTTTGTTCCATCTGTTTAGATACAAACCCAACAAATTATTACCTAAATAAAGTAATGAAATGAGCACACACTGCTTTGTAGAGATGACTGTGAGAGGTGTTTTGATCACTGGACATACAGACAGGGTCTCAAGTCCTATTTCAGTCTCCTTTAACAGTACTCTTCTATGTGTGTGTGTGGTGTGTGTGTGTGTGTGTATGTGTGTGTGCGAGAGAGAAGTGTGTGATGAAGAGCAGTGGGTGCAGTGGACATTCGGTCTTTCTGACTGAGCCTTGTCCTCACATCGAGGTGAAAATAGCTCTCTCTTACACACAAACACGCACATCGAACAGGAAACCACAGACACACACACTCAAAGTCTCTAACACTGCTTTATAATGGCTGGCAAGTGGATACACACACTCACACACCCACAGAGGGTAGAGAAGGAGATGGAGAAAGTACAAGAAGAAAGAAAGATAAAAGACAGAAAGAAGGCAGGATAAAACACACACACACACACACACACACACACCTGCAGCACTGTGGTACCAGACTGATAGAGTTAACCACTGTGCTGATTGAGTTACACTGATTTACTGCTTCCTTTGCCTCCATCATCATCTACCATTAGCTACACACACACATACACACACCAAGATTTTCTAATTCTATTTTCTATTTTATATGTTCCATTTTTTCTCTCTCTTCACTGTGGCTGGCTGGGGGAGGATGTTGGTAGAAATCTGACCTCTGGGGCTGCTGGAAGAGTTCATCAGGGAAGCGTTTTGGCACTCTGTCAAGAACAGCAAGACAGAGGCTGCATGCAGGGAGCAGCATGAGGCTGCTGCCTTTATCAATTCTTTTTTATACACATGTGACGGTGAAACATGTCGCATTTTAACATTGATTTTGCCAAACAATTCCCATCAAGTATGTCAAACTTAATGTGCCATTACCACAAGACAACCGAGCCATGAACAGTCAGTACGTTTACATGCAGAGTCAAGTCGAGCTATGGTTATAGCTTAATTGGATTACTGTACTTGTCTCAGTATACAAGCACGGGAGGGGAATCAATGTATTGACCGAAGTATGTCCGACTCTGCTACGATAGGTGCCGAAACGTCCCCTTTCAGCTTGTTAGCATTGGACCTTTTTCCAGTTGACCTATTACGTCACAGACCAAACAATCAACAAACAAGCTGGCGACGGTTAGCTAGCAGCTAACTGGTACCGTGGTGGACAACTTTACAGCAACTTCCAGGTCAAAGCTCTGGACCCAGACTCCCACCAGACGACCACGGGCGTATGCACGTGCTTCATACAGTAACCCAGTGTATCCCGTACACTGATTTCTTTCATCTGATTTCATTGTAGCTGCAGCTCATTCACTCAGCCTCTCCTTGCCTTCTCTCTCTCTGTTCATCAGACCACAAATGAAACAAAAATTAGCTGCTAGCCAGCCCATGGCCCTTCCACCTCACTTCCCGCCACTGTAGACTGCTTCACCAGGAGGATAGCAGGTAGCAGCTCTGGAGATGAACCTTCAGTCAGCAGCTGTATTGGCTTTTATTCGGCCAGCGCAAACCTCCCCCAGGGCTGGGTGTCACAGCAGGCCGGTGGCCAGCGGCAGTGCTGGGTCTAACCTGTGTAATGGCAGCAACAGAAAGTTTACTGATCCCGTGGTGAATCGAGGCTGTCCTCACTCACTACTAGTGCAAACCCCAGCTCCAGGGGTTGAATGGCTGGATTCAGTTTACTGTGGCCGCTGAATGTGGGTCCATCTTTGGAGCTGCTCTCCTCCCGGCAAGGTGGTCTGTAGTAGTGAGGTGAGGCAGAGATCTCTCTCTAGCTCTAGCTAATGTTAGCTACATAAATGTGAACATGAAGCCACAGCCAGTCAGCAGAAGGCTGAACTATTAGGAACATTTTCTCTACGTCTCTGAAACACCTTGGTTTTATTTGTTTATTGTCAGACAAGTCCATTTTCCTTTTTCAGGTTGCTCGACAGTGTAGCAGTTGCTGCCAGTTGCCTTTCCCTAGCAGGATTCTCTGTCATTGAATCATATGTTCACCATTTGAAGGGACGTGCACGCACATCTGCATTTGTAGAACAGCCAATAGGAAGGCCCTCTCTTTTGAAATGACCTGCGATTGGTCAAAGTCTCCGCCACAGGCTAGATTTTTCTCAGACCACTTGAATTACAATATGCTAAAAGGTCATAATGGGATTTTGCCCAATGAAGTCAAAATAACAAATGTCACTTCCACAGTAGATGCTTGGGGGGGGGAAACAAGAACCTCCTCCGAGTTGCTGCTCTGTAATTTGCTAGCTGATGCTCTTGAAACATAAAATGGTGCCACCATCCAGGCCAGAAAGAGTAACAGAAATGTCCCATCACAGCACTGACTGTTTTCTTTTTGTTTCTGTCTCTGTAGTTACGATGAGTGTGTTGGCCCAGGTGCGACACAGATCTACATCCCCACAGATGACCCACCTCCTTACTCCCTGTTGGACCCCTGTCAGAGAGGAGCAGATCAGGAGGAGCAGCCCGACTACACCAGTCTGGATCCATCTCCATACTATGGAGAGACCTCGGCCAGCGCTGCCTGGTTCTCCCCCTCCCACTACCCGCCAGGACTCCAGGAGCACGAGCACCAACACATCGCATCCATCTCCTTCCCTCTGGAGGCGGCACCGCCTTATGAGTCAGTGTTGGCCGAGCAGCAGGGGCAGCCCCTCCCTCTCATGCCATGTGACCTTTATAAACACCAATCAGAGCGGGGCGATGATGGCACCTCCCGGCAGCCGGGGGCGAACCAGATCTTGTAGGACAATTAATTTGTTTCTTTCACCTGCGCTGTCGGTCGTCCCCGGCTGAATTAAACAAACACTTGTGATGTGGGGCACAAAATGGCTGTTAGGAGCAGCTGTGACACCAAACCGTGAACACTCATGAGATGTACACTTCTTCCAAACAGCGGCTAACACCTAATAAAGCTTCTTAGTGGACTGAAATTAATCCAGGACTCCAGCTTAACTACAGTTTCTTCTGGACAAAATCAGAACTCACTAACTGTGTAAAGTTTCTGGAAGCTTCTCTCAGACAAAGGCTTGTCGTTTCAGTGATGCTCCCTTGGACAAAGACTCTCCCACATCCCATAATAACACCATCGTCTAGTTCAGTTTTTACCACGTTTTAATCTCTTTCTTGTCATGTGTCATTTTTGAATTATGCTGTTCATCATACTGTTGACGACGGCAAGCTGAAAACTGAGTGTAAGCAGTGTCTGTGGTATTTAGAGTAGTTTAAGGTACATACAAGCACAGAGTACTCCCTCCCCCTCCCATTTCTTTTGGTATGATCCTCACCTGTCAGTCTATTTAAACTGTGTTTTAAATGAAAGTGCAATGACCACCTGTGTTGTAGGAACTCCACTGCTGATCTCCAGTCTCTGTAGTGTGTCAACGTTTAGAGCAGTGTGGTTGTTTTAGTGGTTAGAAGAAGGACTTTATGATAAAATGGTTGTAATCATAAATCCAAACTAATTAGGAAACTATCTGGACAGGAAGACTGAATCATCAACTCTCCAACTTTTCCAGTTATAAGGCACTATGATGATGTTATACAAGTCATTGTCATCTGTCATCAGCAGAGAGGAGACTCATCCACTGTTGTACAAATTGTCTCTTTCTATCAAGGGCTCTGGTTTTAATATGTACATTGATATACTATTGTGTAAGTGGACCCCAGCAGCAAACTGTAGCTCGGAGCCGTCCTCCTGACGAGGTCGTGTTGATGCAACAGAGAAGTTACACATTAAACTGTAGACCTGAACACACTGTTTACTGCAGAGACGGATGCTTCTGTCTTTGTCTTATTCTCTGTTTCACTATCATTAAGAAGGGATTTTATTGCACTACAAAGTGTAGCTTTCCAGACATCTTAACACGTGGAGTACCTAGACCTCTGATTAAAGAAAGAAACTGATGTCAGTGTAAACGTGGTACTCATGGTCACTTCTCATTTAAGCCTCAACCAGATTAAGTCCACACTACAGGAGTCCAACAACCACTGACTTTTACCAGCCGGTGTTCACTTCCTGTGAGATTGTAAAGCCAAACTCACATGCATGTGTTGGTGAAACATACACGTGCGTTTGTTGTTGAAGGGAAAAAAGTCAATTTGCAGTGCACCGTAGTGTATTTATTTTGAAAGAGACTGTATGCAAACACACACACGTTTCCTGTGAAAACAGAAGTGTATTTAGAAAACAGACAATGCATGTAACAGGCTGAAGTTGACACGGCGTCCCAGAACGTCAACAACCAACACACCCAGGGTACCTTGGACGTCATATGTGGACGTGGAAAGTCCATGACCAAACGTTGATATGTGACCGACAAATTCAGTAATCGGTAAATCATCCCAGAGGTATTGTAAACAAATTCGCATGTACTGATGAGTCACTGATGAGACTAATGTTTCATTTCCTAATCAAAAATAGAAGAGAAGTTCTGAATTCCCTCTTCAAATGGCCAAATGTAGGAAACAGGTAGAATCCAACAGTTTTTTCCAAAACTTTTGTTCAAATACAACAAATAAATTGAATTTTAGGGGGAAAAGTGAAGCATCTCAGAAACATTTAGACTGAGCACATTTAAAAAACTGAGTACATTCAACAGACATTTACTGTCTATACAGGGAGCAGCATGAAGGTCACATACACAAGTGCACAGTAGCGCATCACAGCTTCCAGTCCTGTCTTCATCAACAGTGGACATTTTACGCTTCCTGACCTCGGTGGAGAGGTTTCAGATTCCTAACCTTTACTACAGCTGAACCATAGTTTAGTTTAATTTTGTGCATGAGTGTGTAAAAGGGTGACAAGTTGAATAAAAGTTTAATCCAGGCAGCATTATGAGTGGAAAAAAGTCCCCAAGAGCTGAGAACCTCCACTGTGGCCAGACTCCCTGATCCATCACCTCCCAGCTCTCTGTTTGTTACATCATTTAACATATTCTGACAAAGACAGAAGCTACAGAGCAGTGTTTGGGTATGAGCTGTGTGTTGGTCATCCTGCCAACCTGTACACAACAAATCACAATTTGCCACTGAAGCAGGAAGTCATCCGAGTTGTGTGTGTGTTAAAGACGTGCCTGACAGGCCTCCGACTGTTAGCTTGAACACTGTAGCCATAATACGATAATCTCAATGCAACTAACTCAGTGCTTTGCACTGTCGTGTGTTTGGTTATATCACGAAGTATCAGTTACTGCTGTGATATGAAGATCTTCTCATTACTGAATCCCTGTTAAATGAGCTGTGATGACAGATTTTACTGAGGGAAACATGTCGACTGTTCCTGTTGTTCCAGTGATCAGCTTTGTGTTTGGTTCAGGTCTGCACCTACAGGCGAGTTAAAGGATAACTTCGGTATTTTTCAACCTGGGCCCTATTTCCCCATGTGTATGTGTGCGTATGATTCATAGGTACAGCTCTTTTTAAAATTGGTTCAGTATTGAAGGAGGAGGATGCAGCCAAAAGCCGCGAGGTAGATATGGGGGCAAATGCGTCCCGTATAAGTTTGCGCATTAAAAGTGCTTTTTTTCTCCACTGACCGGTTCAGATCGCCAGTGCTATCTCTGTAGATAGCATACTAAGCGTTTCCCTGACCTTTCACCTCCTCCCGGCTGTGACGTCATCTCGCGAGAGCTTTGCCAGAAGAAAGCAGAGGAGCCATGCTGAGCGCCACTCAGAGTGGCGCTGGTTGTCCCGGAGTACAGTTGAGAGTTTTACTGCATCGATTGAAAACAATGGTTCGTGTTTGTGTATTTTATCTGAATTGCAAGAACAGGATGTCGCACAACACCCCGTACAGCTTTCAAAGGCTGCCTTTGTCGGACGGCGAGATGCTGAAGTTGTGGCTAGTTGTGCTACAAATGGATGCTAACACTCCTGTCCAGACACTGCACCTTGCAGACCATTGGGTCTGCAGTGCTCACTTCTCCCAAGATGACTACTGCCAGCCGAAGAAGAGAAGACATCCAATCCCGAAACACATCTTCCTCAAGAAAACGGCTGCCCCACGAGTAGAGAGAGCTACAGACACAGTGGAAGTAATGTTATATAAACAATGTTCGAAACGCTTAGTATGCTATTTACAGAGATAGCACTGGCGATATGAACCGGTCAGTGGCAAAAAGAAGCACTTTCAATGCGCAAACTTATACGGGACGCATTTGCCCCCGTTACCATTTTAGCTCATTTCGCGGCTGACGGCTGCATCCGCCTCCCTCAATACTGAACTAATTTTAAAACGAGTTGTACCTATGAATCATACGCACACATACACATGGGGAAATAGGGCCCAGGTTGAAAAATACCGAAGTTATCCTTTAACTGCACATCACATAGTTTAGTGTCCCTGCATTAGACATGCAGAGTCATAAGTTAGTCAGTGTTTACGTGCACAAAATACTTTAGTGTTTGTCGTTATGCTGAAAAAAACAATATTTCTAGTAAGTTGTTTACATGGCTAATGACAATGAATATTCCACTAATATTCCTGTTCACATGCAGCCATGAATACTCTGATTCACATGTCCGTACATATCATTTATCACCTGAAATTTGGAAAAGAGGAACAGATTTTTTTTTCAAACATTTCCACCAGTGGTGGACTTGTTGGTCTGTGTGAACACAGCCTTCCTCTTTCATTCCTTCAACCACCTTCTTCAAAAGGTCATTTTCTCTTAGGCATGCATCTTAAGCCTGCAGCCTTCAAACTGCTGGCGACATGGTTCATGTTAAATGTACAGAGCCGACCATTTAGAAAGAGGCAGTGTGTCGCAAACTGCAGTAAAACCCCAGCTGAGACACATATGTGCTGTATACATGTCCAAATAAGGCCCCAATCACACCGGAAAGCGTGTTGCAGGTTGCAAAACGCAAGGCGCACTGCACTGCCTTTTGTGGTGCCTTTTTATTGTTGCCAGACAACCACCCCATCACTTCCTTACCCTAACCTTCCTGTGTAATCAATCAACCATTCATTTATTTTATTTATTTCACAGTAATTAGTAGCGGGTTCCTAAAATGGACAGTCAGAAGGTACTTGCTGGAGCTCTGGTCGAGGGTGAGAGGCTTTTAAAATATCAAATGACAAACTTGCAAACTTGGAATAAACTCCATCAACAATAATGCATTTTTTCCTAACACTTCCCCAAAAGTGCATTTCATTTTTTTAGGGACACACAATAATATCGGCACATCATCTGTATCTGCCAAAATCAGCCTTCAAATGAACTCTCAGAATCGGCCAACATGCTTTTTCTTATTTTGCACAATGAATGAATATTACATTCATTGAAAAGTATTGTATTTCATGTCTCCATCTGCTGGTGGGCTGTCACAATAAGAGTATGCATGCATAACATTATGTTAATTCTACTACAGAAGAGACTTGATGATCACTAAAATTAGGCGGGGAAAAAATATCATTATTATTATTATATCGGATATCGGCAAAAATCCAATATAGAGCATCCCTAATTTTTGTTTCGTTCTGTGTAACTGCGGATTCAAGACATATTTTATTTGTAATGAAAAAAGACATTGTCAATAAAGAGTGAGGAGTTATTAAAATAACATTAGTACAGAAAAGGGAATTTTAAAAAAAAAACGTTTAATGTAACCCTGACACACATATTTCCAACCCTCATACTCTCCCAGGTTGCTCAAGTTATAAATGAATTCATGTGTCATATGTATGTTCACAAACACTGTCTCATCACACATGAAGAGCTTCACACAATGAACACACACTCAGTTTTACCATCACACCAGCAGGGGGCGATGCAGAGCTACAATATCATATTCAGAGTTTTCACACATTCAGTAATAAGATCAGCTGGGTCGACTTGACCGAGTCGGTGTAAAGGTGAGGAGTATTTTGATGCTTTATTAGATTATAGGAAAAGTAAAATATGAAGATGAGGGTTGTTGGTGTTATAGTATTTGTTACTGAGACCTAGACAGAAGTAATTTTCTCATTGCTTGTTCAACACATTTGTTTGTATATCATGACTTTTTCTCAGCACTGTTTGGTGGGTGCATTCTCTGTAAGTAAAAGGTGTTAAATGTCTTACGTGTCTCACCTCCCATCTCCTCTCTCTTTCTTTCCTCGTCTGTCAAGACAACGGACTTCATGTATATATTAGGAAGTGTCTGTTTCTTTATGTTCTGTATTAGAGATTTTGTTAAATATTTTCTTCTGTAGAGAAGAAGGAATAAATCTGAACTCTTATATGAATCTGAGTGGATGGTTTTGAGCAAACACTCTATTAGGAATCAACTGGAGACACGTTTGTACAACACTTAACACATAATTATCTGTTATGTATCTGTCCAGCAGGAAGCAGACCAAATGACGTTTTTGGCCTTTTTTTGCAACGGTTTTTAACTGCTAGAAGAGTAAATCGAGATAGATGCGGTTGGGAGGTTTCTGGATGTTGTGGGTGTTTCTGAGATGCAATTCTCTGCAGAGGTGCATCTCAAAATTGCATCTCTTTTTGCAGATGATGTGATTCTTTTGGCTTCATCCCACTGTGACCTCCAGCATGCACTGGGGCGGTATGCAGCCAAGTGTGAAGCGGTCAGGATGAGAGTCAGCACCTGCGAGTCTGAGGCTCTCTGCTGGAATACGGTGGATTGATCCCTCTTTTTGTTTATACAGAATGTATACGACGTAAACAGTGACGTGGGAGGGAAGCCGCGGCTGGTCAGTCCTTCGGTGATTCTCTCGTAAGTCGGCCCGTTCTTCACCGTACCCGTCATCTTACGGTTAATGGCCTCTTCGTTTGCAAGGACAAGGAGGGCGCGCAATTCCTTGTCTCCCCAGTTGCTCATCTTTACAGTGTCTGTCAGGTTTGAGTTTACCTCTTGCTACTAGCTGCTCGCTAATTCCTGCTATCAGCTGTTTCCTGTTTATCCACCGCCAGTGGCTCGCACGTGCAGCATCATCAACAGCTCCTCTCACAAGTCTTCAGCAGCCCCTCCCGTTGCGGAAGGTCGTCTCAGTCTTTTTTAACCAGAAAGGTTCCTCCAATATGTCTACCCTACGAGACGGAAAATTGGGCACCTCGGAACAACTCGCCAGTCCGGCTCTGTGTGTCTAAACGCTTGCAGCTTGCAAGCAAAACGGCCCAACATTCGCCGAAAATCTGGCAGTGTAAAAGGGGCTAATGACTGAGCTCACTTCTTTGTTGATTGCTGCAGCCTAAATGTTTCTATGATATATATGCAGGCATATTTATGTTAATTGAACAAACTGAAAAAGGTCCAAAAGAAGGAGAAGTCTGGTAAAATTTAATCAACAACTGATCCAGACACCAACAACAACGCTTGAAACTAAGGAAAGAGAACTTATTTGGACCAACATGCACCATGTGACCAATAAAAGACCTGAAAACAAACAAAAACAGAACCATTAAAACAAAAACCATAATGACTACAAACTGCTCTTACTGTACTCCGTGCAGATAACATAGTCATTGTTATCCTTGTCTCAGAACAACATCTCTGCAGTTGAGATAAATCGTTGTTAATCGTACTTTAAGTATTTGTGCTCTGATGCTTTACAAAGACATTTCACACGTATGATTTAAGAGCTGCATATGAACTATCTTCCATTTATAAATCTATTTATTTTCCCTTTTATAAATCAGATGAGTCATATCATGGGTTAACACATTGGTTTATGTTATGTAATGCAGGTTTTTTTCACTGACCCTGCGTGTTCACGCACATACACACATTCAAATGAATTCACCGTACTGTAGCCGCGTGTGACCTTCAGGCCTGATGAAGAGCTGAGCTGTCACTGATAATTACGGCTCATCGATCGTCCTGTAATTTAAGGGTTGAGTGTGCTGTTATGCCGCAGATATCTGACAGCATTGATGTTTCTCATGCAGTTTCCAGCACATGGTGACCCAATGTGCTCCTCTCTTTTTCAGCATCTTACTCTCAGAGCTTATTGCCAGCAGTCGGATTATCTGTCACCTCAAAACACAGGTGCAAAAACAGGAACGCTTGAAACAGAGTAAACTCTTCTATTTTTTGCCTCAACTTTGCAGAACTGAACGTGTGTGAGAACATCAGCAGCTTGATAAAACCTTAGTGTTTGTAATAATGCTGGCAATTTGTCGGGTTTTTGATGATTATGATGACATTTGCGAATGATTATTTCAGACGACGGTGCACACTCACACAGAGTTTCATGCTATACATGCAGAGTGTCTCACTACACACATTTGAGCCCACACACCTCTGCGAAGGTGCTCCGAGCGCAGTCTTTTACAAACTGAATATACTGTATCTACAGAGAAGGGGTTAGACCTATCAGGGTGTTTATCTGCCTGCAGCAACAGGTGGACAATATTCACAAATGTCGGCATTGTACGTTTCCGCAAACCACAGATTTGTTACATTTGTGCATTTCATATATATCATAAACGTTTCTAAAGTGACGTAACATATGATGTGACTTCACCTGAGACTTAAGAGAGACGTCTGCCAGGCTGCAGACCACTGTTGAAGACCAACAAACAACAAAACCAGATGTTTTAGTGAGTCATTGCTGTTTCCAGAGACAACTGTGGCACCAAAACCGGGTATTTTAAGCCAAAACATGATCCTTTTCTAACCACCTCCAAATGGATTTTGTGTCTAAACCCAACCAGACATTAACCTCAAGGTTTTAGAAACATAAAGTATAAAGTTTCAACATGTCTGACACATAATCACAAAGAAACGTTACATATCTGTGGTTTGTAGAAACGTACAATGCCAACATTTGTTGTTGTGATTGTGTCGACATTTAAGTGGCAAGCTGACACTGAATTATTCTCTTTTTCCACAACCATTTTTTAAAAAAGAAAAATCTCATTTCACAGTAAATAGCCATACAAAAATAAATGAATCCTACATTATTCACTCTGATATTAATGTCAAAAGCCTAAAATTTAAGCACAGACGCGACACTTTAACTTTATAGTCGTTGTTTCAGTTCAGATTCAATGATCTTTACACAGTGAAAAACTCTTTACTGATGCTGTCTGACTGCAGCGTGTCTCCAACACAGTCAGTTCAGTTGAGCCTCACATCAGTGTGAGCTGTTAATTGTTTTGAACATTCTGTGCTTTTGAATACAAGCATTGAGTGAGAGATTTATTTTTGGAATCTGTTTTTCCTAAAACTGAACCGGGTGGATTGTTGAGATGCTTCAGAGGCACAGACACACCCAGCCTCAGGCCTGTCGCTCTGGTGTCTCTATCAAAGTCACAACAGACACGTCATAAACTGTAACTTCCCTGTTGAAGACCGACTCACAGACTCCTGCTGCTGCGTTTAACAGTGAAGGTGAGTTATTATTCTAAATCTCTTTTTAAGCTTTTACAGACAATAAAAAAGGATTGTTAATCTTGGCAGAGGATTGTGCTAAACCTGTGTGTTGTCTTTTAGAAAATGAGAGTTCAGGTTGTGCTCCTGCTCTTTGCTCTGGTGGTTGCGCTTCAAGCGATGCCAACTGCTCCCCATAGGGACCGTGAAGGTATTCATGTGTGTGTGCCTGTGTGAGAATGTCTTAGTTTGAGTCTTGTCGACATGCTTGAGTTGCACAAACCAAAAACTTTGTGGATTTGTTACTGACAGCACCTGTATTCTCATTTTACAGTTATTCCAGATTACATTTTTGAGAGAAGGGAGGCTGATCCAACCAACTCAAAGACAAATGACAACAATAACAACAACAATAACAACAAAGGCTCCAAGACATAAAAGGTCAGACTTCAGTAATCCTGTTATTTTACTGATTTTACTGAAATCAGAGTTAAATACGGGTCAAAATCACGAAACAATACACTCACTGTCCACTTTATTAGGTACACCTTGCTAGTACTGGGTTGGACTGCCTTTTTAATTCTTGGTGTCATAGATTCAACAAGGTGCTGGAAACATTCCTCAGAGATGTTGGTCCATATTGACATGATGGCATCACACAGTTGATCCATGATGAGAATCTCCCGTTCCAGCACATCCCAAAGGTGCTCTATTGGACTGAGCTCTGGTGACTGTGGAGGTCATTGGAGTACAGTGAACTCATTGTCATGTTTGAGATGATGTGAGCTTTGTGACATGGTGCGTTATCCTGCTGGAAGTAGCCATCAGAAGATGGGTACACTGTGGTCATAAAGGGATGGACACGCTCAGCAACAATACTCAGGTAGGCTGTGGTGTTTAAACCATGCTCAGTTGGTACTAAGAAAATCTCCCCCACACCATTACACCACCAGCAGCAGCCTGAAGCGTTGATACAAGGCAGGATGGATCCATGCTTCCATCTGAATGTGGTTTTTCCAATCTTCTATTGTCCAGTTTTGGTGAGAAAACCTGTGTGAATTGTAGCCTCAGTTTCCTGTTGTTAGCTGACAGGAGTGGCACCTGGTGTGGTCTTCTGCTGCTGTAGCCCATCTGCTTCAAGGTTGGACAAGGTGTTGTTGCTTCAGAGATGCTCTTCTGCACACCTTGGTTAGAACCAGTGCTTATTTGACTTCCTGTTGCCTTTCTATCATCTTGAACCAGTCTGGCCATTCTCCTCTGACCTCTGGCATCAACAAGGCATTTTGGCTCACTGGATATTTTCTCTTTTTGGGACCATCCTCTGCAACCACCCACCAACAACCATGCCATGTTCAAAGTCTCTTAAATCACCTTTCTTCTCCATTCTGATGCTCCATGTGAACTTCAGCAGGTCATCTTCAGCATGTCTACATGCCTAAATGCATTGAGTTGCTGCCACGTGATTGGCTGATTAGTTATTTATGTTAACAAGCAGTTGAACAGGTGTACCTAATAAAGTGGCCAGTGAGTATTATTGCGATTTTAAACCTTTTGCAATATGCTGAGTATTGCGGTAACATATATTGTATTTTTTTTACCCATTTTCAACTGCAGATTATGTCCCTAAAGGAAAACTTTCTCAACATATGTTGTGATTCTCACCTGGATACAGTATGGTCAATATCTGTAACAGAGGTATTCAAATAGTAAGAAAAGTGGTGATACCCCACTGTGGAAAAAGTCCTGCATTCAACATTTCACTTCAGTAAAAGTATAAAAGTATTATCAGCAAAATGTACTCGAATGTCAAAAGTAAAAGACTTCATTTGTCAGAATGTGACCTGTCACTGTTATGTAAGTGGACCATTATTATTGATGCATTAACATTTTAACAGTATTTTAATGTGAAAGCTGTTTGATGTGGAGCTCATTTTAAATGCTTTGTATAATCTGAGGTAATTAAATCCAAACACAGCATCATAATTTATATAAATATCACATATTTTGTTTGTAAATATCTGAGAGGTAACTAAAGCTGTCAGATAAATGAGGTAAATTACAATATGTGATGATACCAGATGTAGTACATTACAGAGAGGGGGTTTCAGAAGCAGAATCCTCTCTGTGTCTCCACAGCAGAGCTGATAGTAACTCAGAAACATACTTGAGAGTGTGTTGTGTTCACTGTAAATACTTCTTGTAACAAAAAGCTCTGAACTTGTTTTGCAGGACAAGATGTCCATCAGTGACGATGAAGGGAAATGGCTTTGATAACGGACCCATAACTTTAACCCCAAACTGTTTCAGCCAAAAGATGTCACAAATAAATAAATAAAATAATTACATATATGTCTTTGTGTTGAATATGTTTCTATATACATACAGCTTATAGATAGATAGATAGATAGATAGATAGTTAGATAGATAGATAGATAGATAGATAGAGACCCAGAGACAGAGACCGAGTTAACTAATTTGCAATATATAAATATGTGTTGCCATTTATTTTAGACCTGTATTATTCATTCATTTATTTACTTTTGTTTATTTATTTTGTTTTAACTTTTTAAAATTTAATTCATTTTATTTTATTTCTTTATTTACTTTTATTATATATATTTTTTGATTCACCAGTAACCCAGTGAGGCATTAATGACACAGCCTTATAAATATTAACCCATGGCTTTTACTCTGTCGCCCTCTGGTGGCTCAATCATGTCTTCACAAACTGCAGCTGTTGTCAACAGTTAAGTTCAATCACTTCACACCTGTTCAGTATGTTGAGGGCCAAATTATTGAGGACATGATCTGAAGGTTTGTAGGAGACAGAGACGGAGAAACAAGCAGGAAACTCTTTTAAAGTTGCTGTATGTTCAGGTTACAGTTACACACATGTCATCAGTGTGTTTCTCCTCGGCCTGAAGAAAGTTGCTGGTCGTCGGTCGCCGCCATCTGCAGCCTGCTGGCCGGTCAGAAACTGCCCCCTTCCTCGGTGTCGTCCAACTGAACCGCGACAATGTTCCACCACCGGTTCTTCTTCTATTGTTCTTCTTCAGCTGTCAGCAGGGGGCGACACGCGCTCCTCAGCGGGACTGCCTGCTGTCATCTTCCCCGGGACCGACGCACGTCCAGCCAGCTCCAAAGGGGAGAGCATGAGGGGGTCCAGGCGTACAGGTAGAGGCAGTGGAAACTTTAAAATATGAATGTTCTTTTTATTATATGATTAGTCAAAGTGACTCATTCATTCTCTTTTATTTGCTGTTGTTGTTTTTTACTTTAAGCAATGTGCCAAAGTTATGTTTCCGGTTCAAAATAAAATACCGAGCAATAAAAGTGCTTACAGAGGGAAGATTTAATTGACATGCAAGGGTGTTGGTTTCATTTTAACATTGGTGGGGACACATATTGGGGGTGGGGCGTCTCAGGGTCTTTTTCCCAGAAAAGTTTGGGTGGAACTTTCTTTATTTATGTGAAGAAAAACACAAAATTCAGGTGACTTTAAAATATGAAAATAGGCTAATATAGAATATAATGCAGTAATGCTCTCAGACATTCAACATATTTATTCTCCTGGAGATCAACTCCTCTCATTTAATGTTATCGCAGCTGAGTCAACACACCTGTAGGTGTGATTTACTCTTCAGTCCTCAGTTGTGTCTTTCGTTTGGAGAATAACCTCTTTAAATTTGCACCTATTCAGGGATAAATTAATTTCAGTGGACTTTAATAGCTCATGTGTGTTTCAGATTTCTGATCATGTTCAGGACTTTCTGCACATTCAAAACATATCCTACATATCTGCATTCTCTGAGACAATGGAAATAAAGTTATATTTGTTATAACTTAACTTATAAAGTATGTTGTTGGAGATGGTCTATCTTTGCTCTGTGAAGGAGAGACAGAAAACTCTGTCACCTGCTTTTTCCACTCATGTCAGTGGCTGCAATGGTCCAAATGCTTTGTTTCTGTTGGATATGCAAGTGAGAGTTTTTAAATATTCTTGTAATATTGTCATAAATACCTGATGACATGAGGTTATTACGAGATTTATATTTATCTTGTTAATGACAGTGTCTTTGCAGTGGATTGGTGAAGCAGCAGGAAAGAAAATAGTCTTTGACAGACACCTCAGCGTTAACAATATTCTTTTATTTTTCTAATACAAATCAACTGTGAGCAAGGGGATACATACATGTAAGATGATGAAACACAAAGAATTAAAATATATTTCAAGGAATACTTCACTTACAAAATTAATTTTTCTTGCACGTCTCTATGAACAAAGAATCCAAAAACATTCTTGATGAATTGAAGTGAAAAGGAGACTGCGTTTAACAACAGCAAAACTTTATGAAAACATCTGTTTAGTACTTCCTGAACAACTTTCACTCAAACATTACTATTGACTATTTGCATAAATAGTCTGGTGCACGGATGAGCAGCTCACCTCAACAACTCAAGTGCAGAGTTAAACGTGCAGAGACACACATGCCCCGGGGCCACACGTGCAACTCCTAGAAGTGTTGAAATACAGAGTGTACAACTGGATAAAGGACACTTGGTTTATGCTGCACACGATGTGTGGGAATTTGTAAAAGGATGTTTTGATATAGATTTGCAGTCCCCTAAACTTCAGTTCATCAATAATGTTAGCCATTTTGGATTCTTGGTTCACCACAGAGGCATGTGAGAAAGATAAAGTTTCCTTAACAAATTCAACGTAACACGAGGTGAGTAATTTATATACACATGGTCATTATGTGGTTGAAGTATTCGTTTAAGATGGAGGGTCAGCTAGCCTCTGTCAAACCATTAAAAACCAGTTAATCAGCAGGTCCAGCTTCAGTGTATTTCATAGAAGTTTAGAATAATGGACGTAGCTACAGTGACATCACGCATTTGTTTGTGGACTGCTGTTTTTAAGCTTTGAGTTTGGCATTTTGGTCGTCGCTATCTCGGTAATTAAGAGCCAGAAGTGACCATATATTGGAACAAAGGGCTGTAGCTACACCTCACAGACAACCTGTCAGTCAAAGCAGCCCCTTAAATATGCATAAAAATAGCAGTGACTTGTGACGTCAGAAACCAACGAAAAAAGGCATCCTTTCACGTCAGCATGATACACGGCCCGTTGCCATAAGAGTTTAATGGTGCAATGTGGCATCGGGGGGTAACGTGACGGGACAAGGACGAAAGTTAAGGCGGCAAAAGTCCGAGTAGGGCAGGCGGAAGGGGTGGTGGATGGGTCCAACAAACTCGACTGTCACTTTTTTGTCATTGAAGGTAAAGAAGACATCAATTCAAGATGTTGTATCGATGTAGTGCATTTATTTCCTGTAAAAACTTAAATGTATTTTGAAAGAAGACGATGCATGTTACAGGCAGAACTTGACACGGTGTCCCAGAGCGTCAACAACCAACTCTCTCAGGGAACCTTGCATGTCATACGTGGACATGGAAAGTCCACGATCAAAACATCAATATGTGACGAGGTCAGAGAGGGAATGTGTTGGTTTTGGAGCCCATCTCAAGTGGCCATTCAAAGCGTTGCAGGTTTTGGCCTCATTTTTCAGCCCTTAGGTTGCCGCTTGGTGTGTGTGTGTTGTTTAACTTTACCTGCACTCTGTAGCTTTGTTTGCTAGTAACAACATCCTGCAGCTACAGTGCAGGTTGTTACTTTAATGTCAGTAAAGTAAGGCGAGTGTGACAGATAAGCAAGTTAAGAGTTTGGACTTTAAATTAGGATTAGAATGAACTTCAAACTACATAACTTGAGTGTACGTTCAAGGTTCTTGTACAAACATTTCATTAAATGCATCTTTTTAGTTGACATTTGCAGATATTTAATTACTACATATATA